CCTGCTATGTGCGGGTGGGGGGGGGGGGTGTTAATAAAGTTGGAGGCCTGAAGAACAATTTACAACTTTTGTGAATTTATATTCCTAAAGTAAACCTCATAGCGAAGGTCGTCTTTAAGCTTTGCAAAGTTTACTATGAAAAACGAATGGGTCTGAACAAGGCCCAAGTTTGGCAAGCCTGAATTATACCTTTTAGGTTAGACACCGCTTCTCCGATCTGTCGCAGCACAAAAGCTCGATCCTCAACGTCCTTCAATGTTACAAATCGAGAGGCAGAGTCCTCCTTTATATCTTCCACAAAATGCTCCAAGTCGCTGCAAAGAAAACACACAACCAACTGAGGTTCAGTTACTAAAACTAACATCGTTGCACAATCTTTCACCAATCTGACTGATTCGTGTGGTCTGGTTACATTATATCACCACGGCATAACATATACATTTATATTATATTTCTTACAAATCAGGAAAATGAAGTCCACCTAGTGACAGAAATATCTGTTTTGGCCAGACTCAGCCTTTAAACATTATGTTCCCCAACATCTAAGCTATGAGCAGACACTATTAGATAAAGCGGTGCCAGGGATGGATGCATATTAAGCACACGGCTTTCTGTGCTCGGCAGTATTTGGCAAAGACTTTGAATATATTTAGGAAGTCACAGCGAGCTCCTGCGCCTGTATTTTACTTTCTCATTTGTAATACTAACACAGGAGTAACGTTAGTCACAGGAACTATCAGCAAAGCCCAGATGTAGTCAAATACATAAAAACAGATTTTCTCATCTCCTCCTCTCCCAGCTGCCTCTTACATCTCAGTGCACAAATCACACCTTCCGCAGGCCAAATGTGACACTATCCTGTGTAGCCTGTCATCCTGAACGTATTGCTTGTTGGGTTAACGATACACACATGGGGGCATATTTATAAAGCAGTTGATCTGACATTCAATGCAAGTGATTCTTCCTGATTCATGTGTTTAATGACAGTGATTGATTCACCACTAGTGAACGTTTGGGGAAAACCACATTTATTGCTTTATTCCCATGTAATAAACCAGCTATTGGACTATCAAACTCTTGTGGAAGGCCTTTGAGTGCTTACTGTACTTTTTGACATGTTCATGTGGAGCACCAAGATATTTTTTTTTGATTGAGTGCTGGTAATGTCGCTCTACACATACACACGTATGTGTACTATATAGTGTGTGTGTGTGTGTGTGTGTATACACACACACACAAAAATTAAGATTTTCCCTCCTGCATGATACCCACCTGCTTACCACAGTTTGTCCCAGGACACCACAGGGGGGAGCTTCCATGGATGTCCTGAGAAGGGGACCTGTATACATAGTAAACGTGTACCGTGAAATTTGTAAACGTATGTTTATAGGATACTCTCAGCCTTATTGGGGACACATATACCTGCAAACCTGCTAGAAAACCTTCTAAATGTTAAACCTCTGGGGCTCACCACTCCACAATTTAAACTCACCCTTCATGTCCTCACTGCAACCCAGTGTACCATCATGACAACTTGGCTAACTGATACTCTCTTGAGGTGAAATCAGGAATCCATTGGACGTTTTCCAATGAAAAGCTGACAGTGAGATTAACAGAAACAATGCCCAAATTTAAGATATTTTGGGAACCCTGGACAAGGCACTTTCTACTGCCCTCCTTTGACCATCACCTGCTAGACCTAATAAAATGTAACAATTGGCAGGACCATGTTCTACATACCTTCGACAACTGGGAGTGATCCGATCCCGTACCCCCCTGCTCCCTCTCTCCTCTCCTATACTTTCTCCAGATTTCTTTTTTACGTTTCGTCATTACGACAAGGTCAAGATCCACACTAGCTGGATGAATGTACTAGATAGATCCACCATGCACCTCTGTCCAATAACTGCCACAATTGTACCAACATGTTGGCGTAGAACCCCAACCAGTCAATCTACATACCTAACCTCTGTAACCAGGTGTCATGCACTGTCATTACTCTCATGACCTCGACTTGTACTTTTTAGGAAAAATCCAATAAAGACTTACTGAAGAAAAAATAATTCCCTCCCAAAAGAATCCCCAGGTCACAACAATGATATCGGATGGTCTGAATGACAGTTGCGTTTACTGCGCAAGCATCAAGTGCACACAATGTCATTAGAATTTTTAGCGATTGCAAATAATTAAAAAAGTTGCCCTCTTGCTAATCTTTGCCCTCCTCAATCTGATTTAATTTTATCTCAATGTTGTGCAAAGAGTTTATGCAAACCGTTTTGTTCCTGCGAGTGTTGCAGTGTACCATCGAAAGGAGACTAAAGCTCTCATAAAGAATAACACATCTGTCCACTTTGAACTTTACCATTGTGCCAAGTTACATAAAAGTCACACTAGTGTGATTTTTATGAATTAGCTGACTTTGTTGCTTATATTTTTGGGTGAATCTATAGAGGTGCACAAATTACATAAACATTGGGAAAACTTACAAAGAAATTGATTTTTTCTTAATTTTCCCAGCAAAGCATAAGGGAAATAAAAACAAATGTAACCAAATTTGCTTCCAACCTAAAACCCTATCTGTCCTGAAATAAATGCTGTATAATATGTTAGGGTAGACTAAAAACCTACAAGATTTAGCTTGTGGAACTAAGACATAGATGAAATGAAAAACAAAAAAAGCTCAATTATTTAGGGAGAAAAAAAGCCAGGGACTCAAACAGTTAAAAAAGTACAATCTACCAATGAATAAAAAGACTAGAAATGGATTCAGTGGCGTCCACAGATTGATGATTGATTTCTCCTGGCCGAACCCCAGCTGTTGCTAACGGGAACGCTTTGTGAAAGTGCGCGGCGAGGAAACAACAGATGCTGATGTATCAGGACGGAATAGGTGCTGAAATTGCTGTCAATGTAAACCGAATAGCTGAGAATACAATAATACGGGGGAGGGGGGGCTAAAACGGAACATATCTATAAGACTGTCTGTATCGCACAGGCTCTGCCGTGATTCTGGATGGAGACCAAGGGCACTGAACGTGGGAGTAAATATGGTCCCATTATGTGTCTCCCATTACAAATATGTCCCCTCTGCAAGAGCGCAAATCCCGAATATAAAAGTGCGAGAAGACTATGAAATGAGAGCGACTTCACTGAGCTGGAGTGTGATGGAGAGAGGACACTCATTAAATCTTCCTTTATGAGTAACTGCATCATATGGAAATGATACTCCTAATTAATAATATTATTATGCCACCAATTACCATATGATTATTAATGACTTCTGCAGCGTCGTTATCTCCTGCGGAGCGGCAAAGTGGAGAGGAAATAGCGGAAACAGGAAATGCATTATACAACCAAATGATTACAAATGTCTCGATATACATATATAACACACACAGCTAAACATTGCCTGCAAGTGTGTGTGAAATGCCATTGAATCCCACACACAGTACACAGTGCCGTATATATGATCACCACTCAAATGGGCGGATTTATCAAGAAGTGAATGGGAATTTCACAAAGCAGTGAGGCTAGGTTCACACCACATGCAGTGCGTTCTGGCCCGCTTTTAGCCAGAACGCACTGCATCGCATTGCTGCCAACTCACTTTTTTGTGGGGCAGGAGGGGTTGTGGCGGGCCATTGAAGTGAATGGTACCATAGCCACACCCTCCGGCCCCAATGCGATCGGTTGCACGGTATCACAAGGCACATTGTACCTGCGGTCCGGTTGAAATAGTGCTTGCAGCATTTTGATTGCACCGGACCGCAGGCGCAATGTGGTTTGCCATACCGGCCGATCACATTGCGGCTGGAGGGCGTGACTACGGTGCCATTCACTTCAATGGCCCGATTATTTTTATGTCATCACTACTGGTTATAAGGCAGGATTAAAGCCCATATGCAAGTCTGTAATTTCGGATTGAGATAGATATGGAGAAAGGTAGATATAACATGCAACCAAAATGGTTGAATCCGAGTTGTGTTCCACCACCATTTCTTCCACCGGGCTACTTTCACAATCATGTAAATCCTTGTGCCTATGCATTTTTTGGCTGTGTTCATGAATGTCTGCCACAGATCAGCCCCTGCTGCCGCCTCTCACCTTGTGACTGCAGTCTGATCACTGGGGAACAGGAGACTAAAGAAATGCTTCCACCGGACTGCAGAAGACTGGCGGCATAATCCCAACCTAGGCAACGTCACTTGATAGGAGCCTCAGGACGGCTTGTTAATGATAATAGGTACCTTTCCTAAAACCATTACTGTATATTGTCACAAGTCAGGAATTTGCTCATGCAGACTTGTAAAGTTGCTGATCATTTCACTTTTATTTCTGGAGGAAGACATAGTTCCCGATACCTTTTACTAAATAAATGTCTCGTCCATAGTAGACATGATTGCTGGAAATGTAGATGTTAAGCTTGTAAGCTTTCCTAGCAGTGAAATGTGTTAAAACAACATAAACAACATTGTCATCCTAGACCAGGGGTAGGCAAACTCCGGCCCTTCAGCTGTGGTGACACTACAAATCCCATCAGGCATCTGCCTCTGGTAGCCATGCCCGTGGCTGTCAACGTCTTGCAACTCCTAATGGGGTTTGTAGTTGCAGCACAGCTGGAGGGCTGAAGTTTGCCTACCCCTGTCCTAGACCATGGCCTGAATCCAGGTCAGTGTGAAAATAGACGGATCCCTCACCTTAACCTGATGACAATCTGTTCCTCGTCCTGGAGGTACTTCTGGCGCTCTTGCTCCACTAGGACGCGCTGTCTCTGCACCGGATCCTCCAGGCTCTTGACCATGTCTGTCATTTTACTGCTGATTTCCAGCTCGGCTTTCTTCATCATCGCCCGCACCATCTCCTGGTTCTGCAGCTGTGACACAAAAGAAATCAGTTTCCATTTCTTCCATCTGCCTCCCAAGAATCCTAAACACACAATTCATCCTTGACTCCCGAGACGTTCCTCTACAAGGAGCCCTGATGAAATAATGTACATTGTACGCTAGCCCTTGGCTCTGTATTAAACCCCACAGCTGCATTATAAGTGGGCACAAATGGACAATTGAAGAGTGATTGGCTGCTGCTCCCAGTGAATCTCACTTGATGGTGTTCCTTGGTCTCAGTTCAAAGAGACTTTAAGTTTCCTAAGTAATGCTAAGCCGAGGCAGAAACAAGAATATGTCATGTATTCAGAAGTATCCCTTTATATCGCTTTGTACTTCAAGGAAATCTCCACTTTTCTGCTTATGTGACTGGCTCCCTGACTTTCTTAGATGTCTGCACTGTGATGAAAGACCCATTTTTAGGCATCTCCTGCAATAGGAATTTCTTTTTTGGTGATATGCTCCCTAAGGCCTCATACACACGGAGTTTAAAGCTGCGGCTTGGAATTCCTGCGGCATGAACTTGCAAATTCTTGCGGCAGGAATCCCAGGTGTGTCCATACAGATGCAGCCGCTGTGCCACTTCAGGTGAATGATAAGCCAGTGTTCTATCGAAAGCTCCAACTCGTCGAAATCTCCAACTACCTCACTGCCGGGTACTAGCAAGTTGGAGATTTCGACCAGACGGCGTTAGACTGCAAAACACAAAGACTGACGGAGCTTCTGTACAGCTGCATTTTAACAATATTCAGCAGGTGGCAAACTCGACCAGTATCCTGAAAACGCTATGCGCGCATGTGCACCGCAACTGTACAGAGCTCCAGTCTTTCTGAGCACCGGGAGGTGAGGTAGTTGGAGATCTCAATGAGTTGGAACTTTTGATAGAACACCGGCAGTGGATCTGCCTGCAAGTAATCATCTGTGGAAAGATTGCCTGTGGATCAGGAGAGATGCTTGTCCCTGGACACAACCTCTCTGTGTCCAAGGACAACGATCCCCCTCCACAGCCAATTGTTCAATGTACCATTACATGCGGACAACTCCAATGTCAACCTATCATTCATTTGAATGGGCACAGCAGCCGCATCTGTACGGACACATCTGGGATTCCTGCTGCAAGAATCTGCAGTTTCTCACCACCGGAATCACCAGCTGCAGCCTCAATGGCACATCTACATGAGGCCCTAAGCTGGAAAAACATGGCTCGTATTTCAGACGATTCAGCCTTCACTTGCCCTATCAGCTCCACCTCACTCTACAAAAGTGGACTGAAACAAACGGAAAGAGCTCGGTGGAAAATTGTCCCCAGAGCAGTGACTGCATCTACAGTAATCAGATGCAGTCACTGTTTAGGTACTCAGACAGCCGCAGGTGTCGGCTATCTGAATAGAAATGCAGATGGGAGATTCCGCCAACCACACCGTTTAGCAGTTTAGTATGGCCAGCGATAGGCTTGTCTACTAAAGAGATGCAAACAACGCAGATTTCAGAATAAAAACGCTGAGATTTGCTTAGGTGATTATTAGGGATGCACCGATACCAAGTACCGTAGTCGGTACAAGTACAGATACTTTTCCAGCTCCAGGACTAGACCAGAGAAAGGTACTCCTTGATGATCAGTTCAACCCCTTCAGACGTTTCCTGGAGCTTTCTAAGCAGTTACAAAATATTCAGATAGCACTAAGAATGCGTCAGAATAGACCACCCAAATACTGTTGGAGCACTCAGGCATGTAGCCATCCTATACTGGAAGTTGGTTTGGCATTGAAAATTTCTTCCACGCCTCCATCCACAAAATCTCATCCTTTAGTATCATTGGCACCAAATTATATAGAAACAAAACAGCATTTTTAGTTTACTTGCCCTCACGCCTCACATTAGCTGTGCTCACAAATTAGTAACTCTATCCCATTAACACTCGCTGTGGATTGTACACAAGGAAGATGTGAGAGAATGACTGAAAATAATTACGCGCTGGAGAATCGTGTAATTATTTCTCGCCAATTAACGTAAATAAATGGTATGTGCCACCCTGATAAAGAGACTTTGGGCAGGAGAAGTCTGAAAGTGCCTTCCTTGGTGGCAGAGAGCCAATTAAATAAGACAGAATTCATTTGCAATACTAAATATATGAAAGGCAATGTGTGCCTCTCTCCTGCTTTTTAATGTTTTAATTACTTGCAGTTACATTTCAGAGAAGAGGAGTGCTAATTCCCACCGAGGGGAGAAAAACAACATGGCTTTTATGGTAATTAAACAGCAGCACGTTTCTTCAGCCCTAGTCAGCTCAGTGTGAATGTGTAATTGTGGGAGAATATATTGCCGATATGGTAAAATGGGGGCTGTGTATAATTCACAGGCAACGTAGGCAGGAGCTTGGTCCCCGAAAGATGTCCATGGGGCCCAGGTACAACCTGCATGCTCAATTGGTTGAAGATGTGTACCTGTCTGTCACTTTACCAGAGAGGATGCACTTGTAGGCAGTTGGTGTCTGATGTGGAGCGCTACACCAGAACAGACAAAGCAAATGGGGCAGCTTTTCTGTGCCTATTGTTCACCATAACAAAGGCAATGGGGGATTGAGGGGGGGTTACTATGCCTAGGGCCCCAATCTGCCTTACTCTAGCTTAAATGATCCTCTCTACAGCCAGGAACATTCAAACCCTGACACATGAGGGGTAAAGAATGCTTACACCTATTCAGTTCTGAATGGTAAGAATTCTGCCCCTTACTTTCCAATTAGGTCCCTAAGATCACGTGTTCATAAATACGTTTGCACATGCTAGAAATCCTTTGTAATCTGGTGTTTTAATTATTCATTGCACAGTAGGGAGCAGGAAAAATCTACAGCTCTCTTCATTTAAAAAAAAAAAACCAAGCCAATGCATTTCCTGTACTGTCACATACACAAAATTTTCCGGGGTCTCCATTGAAAACTTAAAAAAGAGAATTGACACATTGGGCTAGCGTTCTCATGTACAGTCACACCATACATGCAATAAACGTCTGTCTAGGACTACCTAGTCATATATGACTTGCCTTGATAGTACTTCATAGCTTGTTATGCCCCCAGTCAGCTGTTGGGTGATTTAATCCTTTATATTTCTTATATTGTAAAGCGCTGTGCAAACTATTGGCGCTATATAAATCCTGTATAATAATAATAATAATAATATTCCACCATAAAGTAAATTACTGTAATATTTAAGGTAGAAAGGAGTAATTCGGTTCCAGGTAAAACCTGTAGGGGGCGCCCTCTACATGTCCATTAGGACACTATTTTAAAATAAACTTGTCTAGATAGCAATACTTTTTGCTGCCTATGCTGATATGTTTCTGAAAGTGACTGTTATCCTTATCCTTGCTTATCAACTTGTTGAATCATTCATCCTGAATAAATATATGCAAACGAGATGTTGGGACACTTTGTGTGTACGTGTCGGGTCATGGTCAGTATTGTACTAAAGAGTGAAGCAAGGAGACACAAGGCTTATTAGATCGTGCAAGGCAAAGGACCTTGCTAGAATCTGAAGCTGATCAGTAAGGGCTTCAGGCTGCATAAACCTTACTGACACCAAAAAGTATAAAGACCTCCCATGCCTCCAGTCACTTTTCTATGTCTATGTCAGTCCCTGTATAAGTTGTGCTGGACTTTCTCCTTCTATAACCTCTGCTTAGTTCATTATGTCCTCTATTACACCATGCCATAGTTTCCATCCTTACTGGTAGCATCTTATTACAGCCTCTTGTCTTTAATCATTAACTAAGGAATGGCCTGTGCCCTGTGTTGTCCTATACGTCACATATAATGAAGTATTCTGTATCCTTTAATAGGTCACTCATGCAATGTTAAGTAAAAGGTGGAGATGTTGACTCATACCACAATTAGCGTGTGTTTCTATATATAGCTCATATACTAAGTCTGAGATAGCTAAAGAACTAAGGATATGTATGGCGGAATACTGAACAACACACTGGCTGCTTTCTGCCATTAACAGACAATGGGGTTCTCCTGCCTACCAGTACTATACAATGCTCCATGGTGACTTGGTCATAACAATATGTGACTTGGGATTTGTTATCTGCCACTTTTACAACTGTCTCAGATAAATAAAATTTATTTCTGGAACAGTACAATTCCTACATCTAGATCGGGGTTTGTCAACCAGGACTTGAAGGAACCCCGGAGTTCCATGAGAAGTTAAAACAAAATGAACGCGAAGGCTTCTTACCCTTCTGTGATATTGTTTCATAGTAGGAATGTCCCGATACCGATGCTAGCATCAGAATCGGGCCCGATACAGGGCATTTTGACAAGCCGATGCTTGCGCTTTTTTTTTAAACTTTACCTTCCGTGGTGGGGTCCTCTGGGCAGGCTGTGCGGAGGAGCGCCGCGTCACTGCTGTGGGCAGAGCTCCAGGCGGGGTCCTAATGTAGGTGGCCGGCGACTGCCCAGAGGACTCCACCTGGAGCTCCGCCCACAGCAGTGACGCGACGCTCCACCGCTCAGTGCCGCCGACATCAGTGGCGGATCCCCGTTGCCCCCCCCCGCCAACGGGTACGACTGCCCAGAGGACTCCACCTGGAGCTCCGCCCACAGCAGTGACGCGACGCTCCACCGCTCAGTGCCGCCGACATCAGTGGCGGATCCCCGTTGCCCCACCCACGGTACTGGTGACAGAGTACATCCTTGCACAGCCGCCGCGGGGACATACAGCTCTCACTGTCACATACTTTATTGCGGTATTTCTAGTTTCATTCCAAGCGATCTTTTTCTTAGATTGAACACTGATGGAAAGATCTAAAAATGTCACAAATTGACAAGTGTATTATGAACATTCTTCACCACCGTCATAATGGCAACTTCATGCAAACTTGTAAAGCGATGAGTATAAAAGGAGATATGGCGCTGTAGCACGTTTAGTTACATGCTATTCTGTACACTTGTATGTAACGTTTATGTAGGTGACGGGTCTTCTCTTTGAATATATTGTGAGATGGCAGAGATTTGAAGAAGCCTGAGTTGTGACAATGCTTCTCCATGTCTCTAGATATCTAAAACCAAGGCTGTGATGGTATAATATTAGACTGTATACTCTTGCAAGGTCACTCTGTGCTAATTATGTGACTTAATATAATCATCATACTCCTCATAATACATGGGACAGGCACAACTGTTTCTGTGAATAGAATACACAGGATATACCAGTAATAATACATCTAAACCCCAAACACAATGAGACTGCAAGTGCTTTGCCAGCCAGAGAGGAGAATGGCATGCTGGGAATTGGCAAGTTACTGAGAAGTTTGTCCCCCTGTAATACTGTATATTTGATGCATATTCCTTATCTTATTGATTTTTAAAGCAGAGGGAAATCAGTTGATCAGTTATTAATGGTATCCATCAAACACTGCAGCTGTGCTCAAATCAGAGTTCACTCAATCTGAGTCCTATATAATTCACAGAGCCAGGTTTCAGAGAGCTCTTCACATGCGGGTGGGTCGGCTTCCTGGAGCCTGTGCTGTGTAAAATGATGATTGTATCACCAGTCAGATTTATAGGAGTTGTAAAGTCCCAGCACACACTCTCCTGTTCTAACATCAGCATTGTAATAGGAATACATAGTAGAGGTGTTTTTTGATAATGCAATCAAATATCTTTTATGTAGTGAGTGCTGCCTTCTGTCTGCCCAATACTCATCAGCTTCCTGGATTCCCAGTGTGCTTTGTATCTCTGCCCTTGCTGCTTGATGTGATGCAATCTTGATTTCTCAAGAATACATATCCCATCATGCACTGCTTCCAGCATGCAATGATAATGTTACATTGCTCAGATGTTTAGTTGTAGTTCAGAAGGCGGGCTCTGTGAGAGTGGTGACACACGGAAGTGAGTGAAGTTGTGTCAGTACATTAAGGAAGTCCATCCTATGGGCACCTTCAATAAGTATGTTTACAATCTTCTAGATGGAAATGATCTTTAGTAATGTAATAGAACTTATGGAAATTTAATACAGAAATACAGATTTATTTTTTGATCGTAGATTCCCTTTAAGCCTGCAGATTGAATCAGGCTGGTGATACAACAAGCGCATAGATGTGATAAACACTTTGATATATTAGGCTTGAACATGAAAAGGAGGAGCCTCCAATGGGTGTGTTTGGGAATACTTCTCCATTATAAACGTATGGTCATGTAGACACACTAGGTTGCAAAGGAAGTTGGTGGTAAAAGAGAGGGGTTCTATTCCCACATCACTCTATTCTTAAATGAAATAAAAAGTTTGACTTTACATACACTTTAGGCATCACCCATGTAAAAGGGAAAATAGCTTCTACAAAACCATATAAAAGAATGAAGGAAGATATGAAAAATAAGGTATATAGCTAAATAACAAAAAAGCATGGGCAGACAGTTTAATTTATCTTCTTCTGAGGAACTGAACTTTATGAAAGCAAAAGAATGAAAAGACAATAAAAATAATTAGCAAAGCTGAAGAAGCCCAGACGATCACCTACCTGCAGCTGCCTCATTTTATGCAGCTGAAGACGCAGTTCTGCCACATTACGTCGCATGTCGTGCAGGCTGACTTTCATTTGTGAACCAGCAGGGGGCGACTGACTGGCAGCTCTAGACTCAACAATGGCTAATGTATTCCTTCCACTGGACACAGTATGAACTGCAGGGATGAAACAAAACAATTATAGAATGGTGAGAAAGACAGCACACATTTCATTAGAATATTTATATAAGGAAATGTATAAAATGAGAGATCCTGGAATTCCTGTATTTTCTTACAAAGCGAGAGGAGGAATCTGAGGGATCCATAGCACAGTGTGCAGAGGTCCCTAGATTCCTTACCATGGTGCACCGGGCTGGTAGTTATGGCGGGATGTGCCTGGACGGTATGAATTGTATCATTTTACCCAATTTGTCTCAGGCAGTGCTCAGATTTTCCTTCAGATTTTATTTGTCACATTGTCAATAACATTTTAAATATAATTTGTATTTAGGTAGAAGAGCACAGTGCATTATGTCAGTAAGTTTGCTGGACAAGGAGTGGGGGCATTGCTAGAATGAACTGGTCTTCTACTGAGTGCCCCCAAGATCTTCTACTGAGTGCCCCCAAGATCTTCTACTGACTGCCCCCAGGTCTTCTACCGACTGCCCCCAGGTCTTCTACCGACTGCCCCCAGGTCTTCTACCGAGTGCCCCCAGTTCTTTTACTGAGCGCCCCCAGGTCATCTACTGACTGCCCTCGGGTCTTCTATTGACTGCCCCCAGTTCTTCTACTTACCATACAATCTCTGTACAATCAACTTTTAGATGTAATATGAGGCCCTACCTAATCTACCCAAATAATTTGTATCCAATCAGGCAGGCCCTTGCACTACCTTGTTGTTGGTAGCTCTAAGGGGGATTGTACATTCAGATTCTATTGTGTGCGGTGAGCTTAAAGGAGAGTGTACAGAGGATGTACAATCTACTTTTTGTATAAAGTGTGGTCACCCTTAGACTCCGCTTTGATCCAAACTGGTCATAATGCATTCCTACCTGCACCCACAACATATCCCATTCTATTAGCACCCCAGCTACAACCATGGAGAGGAGAGCTAGAGATTTTCTCTATAGTGCAAATGCTTTAAAAATAACAAAGACACATGATAGTGGCATGTTTGTGTGCTGATCACGCATGTCACTGGGCCCGCTCAACATGTAAAACTCATGCGTTGTATTTGCTTGCACTGCACATCCGTTGGCAAAGTGCATTCAGAATCAATTACATCACAGTGCACCAATACACATAACACAATGGTGGAAACAGGACTTAACAAGGTGACAACGCTGTTTGTTTTGCAATGAAATCACACCGAAGCCTTGTCACCTTGCCGACAGGTTAGTTTTAGGTGGACATGTAGATTTAAATGGACTTTATCCATTTGGTATCTATGGTCAAAAACTAAAAATAAATCTGTATTTCTACATTAAATTTTCATAACTTCTATGCCACTCCTATTACCCATATGCGTGTAGAAGTTTGTAACCTTATTTAGGGTGTAATGTCTCAATGTACTGACACAATTTCACTCAGCCCTGTGAATATACACTTCCTTGTGTCACATCTCACAGAGCCTGCCTACCGAGCTACAACTCAAGGTCTGAACAATGTAACATTATCATTGCTTGCTGGAAGCAATGCATGATGGGATATGTAGTCTTGAGGAAAGGTAAATTGTATTACGTCAAGCAGCAGGGAGAGAGACACAAAGCACGCTGGGAATCCAGGAAGTTGATGAAAGTGATGGGCAGACGGAAGGCAGCACTCACTACATAAAAGGGATTTTTTTTCAAGTAAGCTGTGATTGCATTATCAATAACATCTCTACTATGTATTCCTATTACAACGCTGATGTCATAACAGGAGAGGATACCTATCTCTGTCTCACATCTTTTAACCTCTTACAGCCCAGCAGCCAACCCGTTCAGGACAAGTAAACACTCAAGGTGTTACCCTGACTTCTGGATCATGTGATTACTGTGATTGGCGGTCACATGATCGTGAGCCCGTCCTACCGATTGTAAACACTGAGCGGGATCTGTCTGTAACAGTTGCTGGGGATGCACAGAACAGAGATGCTGGCTGTACGCATATGTGACAGAGCGGCATCAAAGCTCACCGCCACATACATATGTATACAGCTGACGGCATACATGTGGCTTACCCAGTTTATTTTCTTTTGGAAAAACGTTTTACCATTATAAGCACCCCCAGCAGTGTCATGGTTTGTCCTAACCCCTTCAACTATCACTTTTGCTGGACAGCTTGGTCTGCATGTTAATGGGGTGAAAAAGAAAAACAAAAGAAAAAAAAAATACTGGGGGTAATTTATCAAACCCGGAGCCCATGGCAACCAATCAGCTTTTCTCTCCAGTTTGTTCAGTTAAGCTTAGAAAATGAAAGAGAAAACCAGATTGGTTGCCATGGGCAACTGCTCCTGATTCTGTTGCTCCAATTTTGATAAATTCTCTTCACTGAATTCTATCATTACAGATATCGGACACATAGAGGTACCACAATTCAAAGCTTTTTTTTGTACTGTGTGCCTCCGGACAGCAGAAGACAGCAGTGTGTATGCAGTCTCAGTATCCATATCACAGGTTGTTTATGTATCTGCTTTCAGATGACGGCACCGTATGAAATGCTGTGTGGGTGGTTGTACAGAGTCTCCATACAAAAATACAATTGGGAAAATGCTGGTTGCTGTTGAATGCAAATACAAATGACAGACGAGCGGATCTCTGGTGACGCTCACATGCAAATACCAGTCTGGCTGCATGCTCTGTTTCTGGTAAAGAATGGCAACGATCAGAGCCGGATTTACTCTCTGGCCAGGTCCCTTAATGCCAAACACCCCCCCTCCCCAACGGAGAATGGAAATCAGATGGCGGGGGTGGCAGTGTTAGTTTTCTCTTTTTTTTTTACTTTTTGATCACTTTTTTTAATTTTAATTTTTCTCATGATCTGTTATGTTTTTATTTTTGTTATAATTTTTTACTTTATATTTTTATCACTATTTAATTTTAATTATTATTTTTTACTTATTTTTTTCTTAATTTAATAATTTATCACATTTTTTTCCCCATTTACTTTATTGCTATTACACAGGAGCTAACAAGCCCCTGTGTGATAGCATTGGAAGTGACAGGTTCTCTTTTTTGAATCTGTCACCTCCAATACAGTACTGTGTTGGAACTCCTGTGACAGCTGAGAGGGGAGAATCGTCTCACTTGTAAATGAACGAGCGTCGCTTCTCCGTCCCGGGCGATAGGAATTCCACACCCCTGCCCCCCTCTGCTCCCTGCCGCCCCAAGGCCGGGCCACGGTTGGCCTTGTGGGAAATCCTGCCATGGCGACGACGGTGTCATGTATTAATATCACTTTCACCCCGAAGACATATCCCCAACTCTGTCTACGTCAGTTCCACGGGGGGGAAAGGGGGCAATGTGTGTTTATGAGACACAGCTTACTAGCAAACACAAGGGTGGCTCCATAGGACCCTACAAGGGAAAGGAGCCTACCTATAACATGATATGAGGACCAGTGATCAGGGGACCAGCTGATTCTGCAGAAAGCGAAAACTTTTAAACATCAAGAAGTAGAATCCATTGTAAGTGATGTACTCTGCATATGAAATAGCTTAAAAAAACCTTTTGACTTTAACGAGGAACTTTACTTATATCTTCAAAAAAACAACAACGTCACCTTTAGAAATGTTTAGTAATGACAATCTACAAACATAACATATCTTATTCTTCTTTTCCTCCCCATTCTTCTCACAGTAGCCCCATAGAGAAGGACGGGGGCTGCGTACTAATCACACACAGCACCTGTCCTTGCCGGGAGCTGCCCGATACAGATGTTTCTGGTGTGAATGAGGCCTTAAAGTCGCACCGGAAAAAGAATTTTTCAGGTGTCGGCACCACATAGACACAAGGATACGAATGTCCTTGGGAAGTTCGGATGTCACAATCTTTATGCCTGAAGCTCCTCTTTAGGGGAGGCTGATGCAGAGAGAGTGAAGGAAGTGGAGGAAAGCGCACACGGGTGAATGATACAATGCGGGTTAAACACACAGCGCGGCTTCATTGTGTTTCACACAACAACAATGCGGCCTTCTGTTTCTGCTGACGGCAAATTTATTTTGGACGGCGGAGGACATTTCTGCGGCTGCTTTCACTGAGCTCGTCTTTCTGCTGCGCAAACAATGAACAAACAATATCAATTCTTTTGATAAGTGAGAATTTTCTATCCGCTGGAAAGCGCTGAAAGCGGCCAATGAAAATGAAAGCTGCGGAACATTCGCTTCTGGATGAACTGAGCAGAGATCCCGATGTACAATGCGATTGCTATCATGTACAGCTATTAATACCAGACGACAAAGCTTCCCTCACATTCCCTCCTCTGATAATTGCTTATTTTGACGCTTGCTGCTCTCAGCCATGCTTTTCATTTTCTGAACTTGCCGTAGACGGCAGGAATTAGTTTTATTCAGAAGGATTGTTCTCATATTACATTTCTGTGCGGATAGCTGGAAGCACGTTATGTATTTTTAAAGCTGAACTCCGGCCCTCCCTTCAGTCTTGTCCAGTTGTACCGGCTCCACTCTTGTACTAAAATCGCTTACTCTGATTTCACTGCACACTGTGAGCAAGTCAAATACAGCCCGCCTCATTTTCCTGGGTGGAGGACATCAGCATCATCTAGCTCTTTCCTCCTCAGCCTGACTGTGCCTGCCCCTTTCATTCATTCCATTTGAGTTCTTTCAATCATGGGGGCTCAGCATCACATATGGGCGTTACTCCTGGATCCTAACGCTCCCTCCTCCAGACTGACATCCACCCATATTGCTATTTGCATGACTCTTCCTAAGAGACACCACACTCCTTGCATCAGGACTGAAAGCTCTTTAGAGGGGTACTGGGCAGTGGCGTCACAAGGGGGGTGCGGCCCGCACCCGGGTGCGACCATTGGAGGGGTGACACCAAAATGACTGACAGTCATTTTGGTGTCACCCCCTCTGAAAAGTCAGGCACTTGGTCATGGACCGAGAGCCCAACAATGCCAGGAGAGAGGAGGGCCGGCAGGCGTCAAAAAGATGACC